TAAACTTTAGTAATTGGTACGATAAATTGATAGTTTTAAAAAATAAACAACGACTTCTTTTAGTAAAATTTATAATTAAATCTCAAAAAGCCTGATAATTAGAATTTGCATAATGATACTTTTATTTTTAGATATTGTGCATATTTAAAACTAAACAAAAGTCCTCTTTTCCAGAAAGAGACGTTGTTATTTTTCGCTGAATCATTTTACTTTGTTTTGTGCGAGGACAGAACTAGATGCAGCAGTGCTGACAAAATGATGAGTTTAGAATTCTACACAATTATGTGTACTTTTATCGGGACAAAGATGATTTGACAAAGCATTTGTTAATCGTGAAATTCTTTGTCTGATGATAAAGAAACTGAAAAAACACTGGATAGTAATTAAATAGATAAAAGTAGTAGGCAAGTCCAGAGCCCGGTCGTCACATTTTATTCAAATTTCCCGACTCGCAATTTCTTATTATGACATATAGAAATCGGTTGAATTCTATCAAAATAAACGCCGAGCTTACGATGACGCGAAGAATCAATTACGCCAGTAATAGAAAGCTTCAATTTCAATCTGAATCCTTCAGTTATTTGAAAACTGGCGCTTTATGATATCGTTTGCTATCAATGACGTTAAACTGTGACTGACGAATATTTCATTGCGATATATTTATTACTTATTACCTCTGCGATGAACGGCTTATGAAACATTAAGATTAACAATCATGTCCAGGAACTGTGTTTGTTTGACTACGTCGCGTCGTCTCTACGCCCGATTATAGTTTGAATACGTTTGTAAATGTCTCAATAACCGCGTCAGATTTTTTTTTATTCTCAATGTAACTCAACAAATTATAGCAAATATTAAGTGAAAATGTATTTTTAACTATATTTCTTTTAAGCCTTGGTAAACGGACTGGTGATACTTCTTTCCATATGTTCTTAAGAACGTAATGCATAAAAATAAAATCATACTTCATAGTTACATAGAACTATTTTATACTACTATTATTCTATGAACTATTTCATAGTTACATAGAACACTATTTTACATATGGTTAATGACGGCGTAGAAAAATTTTATGTTAATCATTTGGGGCAAATATTGTTTAAAGATAATGATGATCACAAAAGTTTTTAAAATCAGCCAAAGGTAAACAACACGGAGTCGGTACTCAGCAGTATGTTCAATTAAACTATTTTTTTAATTATTTTGATTGATTAATTTAATTATTTATGGTTGCAGAATGGTACAACTTCCTTCAGGCGGTTCTGATAGTAGTTGCTATGATACATACATAATGGAACCATAGATGAAATAACCTTAAATATGTAAGCGTGATATAAAATTCATTTTGTTAAACAGAAATATTTTACGAATTTAATTTGTTTTAAAATATCCTTTTTGAACACTTACTAGAAACTTACCTAATAGAATAATCTTTTAAAAATATCCCATACTTGGCAATGGACTTGTTTAGCACAGATTCTCGGCAAGTGCTCTTTTCCGGATACCTGAAAAATACCCTAGTGATATAGTCACTCAATGAGGCCACCACCTATCACCCAATTAGCCTTTTCAATTACTTGGGCAATCTGTGCGGGCGTTTCATCCTCAACAGGCTCATCTACGCCAACGGCCTCATTTCCCCAGAAGGCTTTTAACCGAATCACTCCTGTCCCGAACATTTATACCAACTGACTGAGCAGATCCTGAAAAGCCAACGAATCCAAAAGCATTACTACGGGTGTAGCACATTGAGATGAAGTATTGTTGATAGAGGCCATACATACAAGTTGATGTAGTGCTATTTAAATTTCAGCTTAACTGCAGATAAGCAATGCAATAAAAATACAATAAGTATAAATTTTAAAGAAATCTCATTATTTATCTTTATAAATCAAAGAAATCTCATTAGATCTTTATAAATCATTCTATAACATACCGAATTGACGAATCTATGAATCGATTTGATATATGTAATTTTCAGCTAATGGTGTATTGCTACTTATCACAAGGTTTGTTTAAACTTCTTCAGGGCCACATTATATAGGATGGGATGTTATGGTCAACGGATGTTTATATGATTGCAAAATATAACTGTTTACAATATCTGGTCAACTTTTATCAATATCATGTTCTAGGAAAGTTTGATTTTCTATCTAAAAGATTGGAATTAAAGTTTTGACCTTTCGAGGAAGCGACGTGCAATTATTTTATCGTGTGTGTGTAAAAGTGTACTGAATCGTGTGTACTCTCGAACCGACATAGAGAACTCACTATCTTTTAACATGTGTCATTTAAAAACAAATTTTTAAGATTATTACATTATTTTCATTTTATTGGAAAGTAGTGAAAACCTTGTTTCGTAGGGTTTTATTGTCTGAATCTTTAGATTTTCTGTATGTACCCTTCTACTGTTGTAGAACTACGTAGCACCTTCTACTGTTGCACGAATGGGAAGTCTCGACCGTGGAAGTATCATGGTCTCAAAGAAAACTAGCGTGAAATATTTGAAAAAACGATTGTACAACCCTACTTTATGAGAAGGCCCTAGCCACTCTTACTGTATTAAAAAATCACGATCGGAGACCAGTTGAGAAGTGTTGGTCAATAAACATTGTCTCAATTACTTAATAAATAACCGGTAAGTGTTGGCACTAAGTAGCGAGACTAGAGGATTAGACAGTATTTATATTCGAACTCAAGAGTTGTATATCCGAACAGTGACAGGCGACCGATTTGAGCAGATCAAAGACGTGATTCGGTATTCAGTGACGACTTGTTGATGGCCGTACCGGACCACACACGGTGGACTATTAGTCTTTAACATTAATAATAAAACTACTTACGAGAGGTTTAAAACATATAAAGCTATGGGTAACACATAATTCAGTTTGATTTATTTTGTCTTATTATGTTTGTAAATTTCGAGGGATACATAAGTTTTAAGTTTTAAATTATATATGCTTATAAGACATATGTTAATGATAGGGGGATAAAGATTGACATTCTTCTCAAAAAATAACTATTTCGCTATATTGACCTATTTTCTTTAAACTTGTACAGAATAATGGTTTAAATACTCTTGGGTTTGGTGCTTACACAAACGCTGAATAAATATCTTAAAAGTGCTTAAAGTGATTCAAATATATTAATTCAAGTGTCGTAAAAAATAGTCAAATCTTGTCAACCATGTTTGCTTAAACCTCAAAAGTTGTGTTTTAAGTTGTGCTTTAAATTAAACTTCTCTACCGAATGGCCTATCAAATGATTCGTCTCCATCCTCTAGTGGGGCCCTAATCCAAGTGGCGGTGTCAATAAATTCGTTGAGATGCGATTGGTGACATCATCGTCTGCGGCCCGACCTTCCCGCTAATAACACACTACGTTTTCATGGCAGCTACCCATGTGTAACTGGAGCGAACTGATTTCAACAACTCCTATTTCGGCACTGAGCCGTACGCATCATCTACGTGACCAACTGTAACTAAACAAATTTATCAATTACTCCTTTATTTAATTCCAGCCCGCTCTACGAATAGGATACGCATTAGGATGATAGAGAGATTTCGATTCGCCGCAACTGGTTACGATTAAGAAAATGATAAGAGTTGAGAAAGTTAGTACTCAAATTTAATTTGAAGAACCATGCTGTAAAAATGACAGTGCTACGAATTGGATGTTTGGGTCTAGTTACTAAAAATCTGTCTCCTGTGACTAAAAATAAATAATTGGCTGTCATTTTAAGATAATTTTCACGACAATCAACAGCGCCTGCATAAAGAAAAAGTGCGAAGCCACACTCGGTAAAATATACGTCGAGTAACATTGAGTCTTTACTCGTTCTGTGAAGATTGATTCTGATGAATTAAAACCGATCGTAACCACTGTTTTAATTTTGTTTTTGGTAATAGAGTTGCCAGATAAATAATCGATTTGTTAATAAACGCAATTTTCATCAACATGTTTACAACCTTTATTCATATGACTTTTTTAGTAATGGAGCAACGTGTTTGCGTTACATTTACGTTGACAGTTTGCAAGCAAGAGAGTGAGGTAGGGATTTTTTTTAGTCCGGATATATACACGGTTCTTGCAATATTAAAGCCGGAGCGTAGTTTAGCATTTCTTTCAAGTCCAATGCGTCATGCACGACATCGAAATAGGTAGCAAAACCTTTTTCATTATTATAAAAATTAAAAATTATATTAATTAAAATAAACAGCGCTAAGTACAGTATTTCGCTTTAGTGATCTCGAGAAAATGTGGCATTTCTTTGGGCTATATATTTAAAAAAAATGCATACAGTGCCATTTTAAGACCATGCGTAAATTAATTTCATTGGGAATGTTCATCTTGTATTCCGCGAGATTGATATCTCACTTTTTAAAGTGTTTTTAACGAAAGCGCCTGTAAAACTTTTCAAGAGTTCGTTGATCCCAAAAGCACCCATAAAGTTGTTATGAAACGTTGTCTGTTTTTGCCATATGCTGCACTTGCATTCATTCAAAAACGTTTGAAATACTTATTTCTTGATGAGATATAAAGAGAAACATAATAATTTCGATTGGAAATAATAATATGAGATAACAATCACTTCTCATATTCATGTTACCCGGATTAAAAATGTGAAAATGTCAAATTTGAATACAAAACTAAAACTAGTTTACATTTAAATGAATTCACAGTTTAATAAATAGTAATAGGATCTCCTAATTCTCAAAAAAAATTAAAAAAAAATGTTTATTAACATTCTTATGTTAAGTATATAATAATATAGCTGTGATATGAAAACTGTTTAAGGCTTATAAAAAGCCCACCGTAACGCACAACTGTCTTGAACACTTTCCAAATGTATTCCATTGAGTTATACATAGACAAAATAAACTTCTTTATTACCCTAAAGAGTGAAACGTTCCATTGAAATTCTATCTTACAGACATACATCTATTGCAGGGAGAACACTAATAAAACTATCACAATCTAAAGCTCAGCTAGGGCTTGGAATGGACGCGGCACAACATAGTGCAATTCGGGAAAAGCGGAGTATTAAAATATCAAAATCGATGAAGACCAAGAGGCGGCGGCGTGCGCGCGCGCAGTCAGTGGCTCGCAAGTCGTCGCGTCGCGCGCTCTACTCCCGACCCGCTCCGCAAAACTCCGCTCCCTATTCACCGAACGCACTCACGACTCACCGCCCGCCAACGATACGCAACGGGCATTCGAATATATAAAAAAAAAGTTGACAGAAAAGGCAACAACCGATCACAGTACGAATCGCACTTGCAGCCAAGGAATCAAATTACATATTATCAAACACGTGTTTATATATAGTAAGCGCGAATACGGTATCGTCTGATCCACGTTTTTTTCTTCTTCACTGCGAGTGAATAAATTAGCAGACGGGGCGTCTCGCGTGAAATTTCACTTTTTGCCGGCGAGGATCGTCTCACCATGTCTAAGGCGGACGCAAGAAATGAACGAAAATGGACCTATAAACCTAGTAAGTATAATATTCAACCGACACGTTTTAGTGACTTTAAAAAATTAACCATTTGCCTTAGACTAAAACAGGCGATTAAAATGTAGAGTACTTTCCATATTGTTCCGATAGCCTTTTTTAATAAATTTTTGTACAAGCCCACTATAATTAAATAAAATAAGTATACGAATGTATTTATATGAAAATGGCTTAAGAATAGTTGCGGCTGTGTAAAATTCGGCATGTTATTGCTAGTAAAAGTTCAAGTTTGAAGAGATAGTCGAATTATTATTTGAACATGGAGGCCTAAGTAATAGATAATGAAAAATTAATTGTAAGCTTAGGACTAAAAATAATTTTAAAATTTCTCTAAATATTATTCCCATTTTATTAAATTTCTTTTTTAGGAAACCTAAACCTTTCACTACAAGTAATCGTACTCTACATGATAATTAAATGTAAAATCACATTTATATAACCGAACGAGTCACTATGGCACCTGCTACTAATTAAATTGGGACAAAACGCTCTTGCCAATATCAATAAAATTGATTTAGCTATCCATATCTTCAAGTATGAAACTAGTACGCTTAGATACCTCGGAGCAGTTGTGACAACAAAAACTTATATTCGAAACAATAACGAATTATGTTCCAATTTCTTAAATTACACTATTTAAGCAACAAATAACTGTACATTAAAATAAAGTGTTTTTCTGTTACGTTATTTTTTGCTGTAAAATAAGTAATTAAATAATTGGGGATACAGAATATGAATTTCTTAAAATATATGCTATAAATGAATTTATTTTAACAATTTTGTCACATCAGTGTTTACAGTAAAAACTATATAATTATATAAATAGCAAATTAATCTTAAAACATAGGTTATGTTTGATCATTCAATTCTATTAAAAATCTTGTCATGAAATTAATGGCAACCATTATAATAGATAAAAGAAGTTATCGCGGTCAGTAGCGTGACATTTATTCTTAAAAAATTATCTATTTATAGGCAATGTATTGTACAAATTGCGCTAAGGTTATCAGTTGCAATGTTTGATTAGTATGTTAATATCATTAACGAATGTTCTTTACCTAGCATTTCTAAATAGGAACAATTGAATGGCTGTAGCAACCATAAGTATCAATGTTTTAAAAGGATTCAGAATGTCAACCGTCCTAGTTGTATCATGTACATTTTTTATCCATCCTCAATGTCTGTAGTTGAATGACTCTTGTTTCGAATGTGCTAATTTAGCTTTTTTTGTCATCGCAACATGGTTTTAACACAATATACCGTATTCCTTACAAATCAACGTGTGAAGTGAGTGGAGAATTTCACGGGCGAAAATGAAAAACCTCTAGTTCTGAGAATCGCAATTAATATTTGGCCCGATCCATGATTTTAGAGCAGCATCTAACATTAATTGGTTTCAATTTAAAACCTTTTAACGCCTAGACTCTAGACGGAGCGAAGCTTTGAGAACACTCGTATTGGGTAATCGTGCCATTTATAGTTTGAAAAATGTGGGCTCAGTGTTAGTCTCGCTTATTACTGGCTATTTATATCAATTAAAGTGTCATTGTTAATTTCCACAGTACTTTCGTGAGAGCTATTCGAATTTAAAAGCCCATGTGTATGTGACCCCAATCAATCTGTTAGTCACCCAGTTGCTTGGTCTTTCGCATAGTACGGAGATCATTTTTTTTTTGGTATCGGGGGGGAAATGTTCAAAATCCCACAATACCTTAGATGACAGGGTTATGTGGGGTTCTTACCCACTAAAGCCCCCTCGGTGGCCACCCTCTGTACGTTTGGAGGGACTCCGGGATCTCCCACGGAACGCACCGGTGGCCCTCAGTACTCCGCGTGAGCACTCCTCGGAGAAGGATAAACCTTCTTCGATTCCCTCACCATCTTGCAGCAACTCGAGACCACTTCGAGCTGCTGCCAATCCGTGTCCCCTTTTAGTCGCCTTTTACGATAGGCAGGGAATACCTTAGCCCTATTCTATAAGCCCGCGACTACAGGGCTGAAGGGGCGGCGTTTCTGCTGGCCCGGCGCCTTCATCTTCGAGCGGGGTCAGCCCTCTCCCGTTCTCGCCCAGCGATATCCTTCTGGAGCATAACAGTTTCACAGAAGGAGACCAGTGCCGTCCAAGTAGATTCCTCCACCAATGCAGCCGACACTGCGACTTGTGGATGTCCAATGGTGGATAGTGGCCGCCTCAAAGGATATCGTTCGGTACCCTCGTGCAATCCTAGCTATTTTATATATTTATAATTATAGCTATTTTTCTCTGCAGGCTATAAAGTTTAGCTCTGCAGCGTCGGACGCCTGTTAGTCGGTGAGACCATACGGGCGCCCCGTAGATTGCCATGGATCGCGATCGCATAGAGGCGGCGAACTCCTTCCCTGGGGACCCTGAGATTAGGCAGCAATTTGTGCATAGCACCTACTATTTTTCTACTTTTCTACCTTTTCAATTCGGGGAGCCAAGCGATAGTACGGAGATCCCAGTTTCGGTCCAACCGATACCAATGTTTTGTTTCTCTACTTTTCTATTTTTATATATTCTAACGTTCTAATATCTGAACGTTCAATTTTTAAATAAAAAGAATTGTTTATTAGATTGTCAAATTATTCAACTCATAAATTATTAGTCCTATTCTTTAAATTAAGATTGAAATTACGTACAATCATTGTTTAGTTATCTGAAGAATTACCTTTTACTCCCTTATTTTGCTTCCGTAAGCTTATTTAAAAAACGATGTTTTAGCAACAAGTTGTGCTAACGTGTCAAATACAGCATAACATTTAACCAGATAGAATAGTGATGATGATTAGTTTGTATGTCAATATGCCACGAAAAATTCGACAAGTTTATTACCGTTCTACTTACCCCCAATAATAGAAACGATTCAATTCGGTTTCGCGGATATCTCCAACGGGCCGGGCAACGGGCGTAAGTGGATAAAACAAATGGAACTGCGTCACTCAAACGGTCCAAATGGACTGCGCCAATAAAAGCAGCCCTCGCCGTGAACCCTGCTAGAGTGCGCATTCGTGGCCCCGCCGAAGGCCGCAGACAACGCAACATCGGACGGAGCACTCACAGTAAACAAATACGCGTCTGCGTTTCACTTTCGTTTCATATTTGGCGGTGAGCGGGAAGGTGAATGATCACAGTCCCCTTTGTCGTGTTCTCGACACAGAAAAACGGGCGCGCTTTGAAGTTTCGATATGACGTCGTAAACAATGAATGCGCGTTTCATTTCCGTTCCTTATATACTCTCTCATATACTAGCGGGCGGTTAACTTCTCCGAGGATGCCAAAAAAGCTTTAAAATCATCAGTGGTAGTGGGTTTCCGTTTCAATCGCGATCCCAGTTTGCTCTTTTTGTAGTGACGGTTTTTTTTCCGTCATTTATACGCATACTAAAAACATGCTAGCGTGCGCATATACCACTTTTAAACGTATATACCACTCCATTTTAGTATAGCTCCATTCATTGAAACTTCAACCTCTTTCGGCAACTGTTGCTGCTATTGTTCTTTTGTCGTTATTTGTTTTAGGTTTTCATTTCATATTATTTTGTCAGAGAAAGTATGATCCGCCCAAAAGCACTAATATTAAATCAAACTGCGCAAAACATAAAAAAACGCTTTTTATTGCATAATAAGAAATATTATAACATTTTAATGTCATAGTTACAGTAGTGTTGTAACATTAAGTTTACTATTCATTCTAACTTGGCCGGCGGTAATTATTCCTACAATATCATTGAATAGTAATGATAACGGCGGTCGATGAACGGGCGTTCATGAACTTGGCCCGACAGCCTTCGGACCGTCTTACGACATAGCATTGTTAAGGTACAGTAGCGACTCCAGCCGGAAAGATTATTTTCTAAGTAACGGAACATTTGTACAGAGTTAAAAATGCCATAACGCACATAATCACGCATGAATCCACAAGAAAGTAAACTCGGATCAAAAGTGAAAAATTTACTATATTTTATTTCATAATCGTGACGGTTTTAAGTTATATGTTGGGTGTGATATTCGCACTTAAGATAGAAAGAGTTGACATGGAGTCCACGAAATCTACCGAAGTAGAATATGACCGTACGTGCGAAGAAAAAAAAAGGATATTCTGATTTTTTTTTAAATCAAAATTGTATTTTTAAATTGTGGGACATTGCATTCACTATTAGTTTTATGAAATAAAATCACAGAAATCAAAAATTTACAAAAACTGGAGACCACAGAATTCAGAGATGAGTATTTCGTAATCTAAATTTAAAATGATAAGCAAATTCTTGACAAACTAAATCTGGTAATAATTTATTATTTGTTTATATAGCGGTTTTTCGAAGTGCTATTATAAATCATGCTATAGATAATTAAAAAGAATTTGAAGTGATCTCTATAACGTATTGGCAGCTCATCAATAACCGCAACTATCATTTTACGTTTCGATAAAGTAAACGTATTTGAAACGACCATTTTTTATTTCATAAATCATGACATGACATGATAATTAAGTGACACGTTTATAAACATGTCATTATGATCGATATAAAAATCACATTATTTACCTATAAACATTTTGACATTTTCAAGTTGCCGTTGTTCTTTTTAAAGTTATAGACTTGGAATCGTGTTAATATTTTCTGAATAGTAACTTTTTTAACTAATATTAAAAGCAAATTGAGCTATGAAAGTAATAAGGTATGTGGGAGC